TCCAAGTAGCTAGAACTACAGGCACGCGCTACCACGCCCGGCTAATTTTTGATTTATTGTAGAGATGAGGTCTCGCCAAGTTGCCCAGGCGGATCGCGAATCCGCGGGCTCAGACAATGGATGGTGTTTTAAGCGCAAGCCACAGGAGCATGACTTGGCAGCAATCCTTAGGAGACTGACTTTAATCCAGGGAAAATAATATACTTTAATTAACCCACATTTGGGGATCTTCTGTAAATGGGAACTCTTTGGTGGTTGAGAGTGTTGAACTGGTTTGTGCCTGATAGAATTTAAACCTCATGTAATTTCATTCCTGTCTATAACGGGTTTCCTCAGAAGAGAGAAGCTTTGTTCAACCCCCCTTTAAAGTTGTCTTAAATATAGACAGTGAAGTTCTGATTAGTGGAGCTAAAAATCATTATGGAAAAAAAATCAATAAGCTTGAAAATTAAATCCCACTTTCCACATAGATGGTTTTTCACCACTGACATAAAGCTGAGAATGGATAAATGAAATAGATGAGGTTTTGAAAACATTCATCAGAATTGGATGCACTTTAATATCTATTTCCTACCCAAAGACGTGATTGTTTGACAAGGTTCATCAGTAAATTTCAGTAGGATTCAGAATTCAGGCTTCTCTTTTCCTCACATCCACCTTCACAGCACACCTGCTCTATACAACACAGGAAACCAGAGTTGCAGGGCGGAACAGTTAAGTCAGGCTGGACCCCCAAGGGACCCTTCTCTCTCCTCTCCATCTTCAGCTTGGTTCATTCATTCCAGTTCATTCCATCCAGGTCCACTCTGGATTTCAGGGGGCTTGGCATGGCTCTCTTGCTCCTCCTTGGCTGGCTTCACCAAAAGATACCTTTCCAAAACTTGCAGGGGAAAGTGCACTGTTCTTGGGATCAGGCAGACCACCCTGATCTGGATACAACTGCCCATGTTCCTGCCATCCTTTCTTCAGAATGTTCCAGGTTTCAGGACAGGAGGGGAGGACAGGGAAACCATCCCACACTGGGAGAAGCTTCCACTAGGCACACACAGACTGCCCACATCAGGCACGGGAAGGAATCTTTTCCTGTACACATAGTTGGTTCCTCTAGGCAGAACTGCATCCAGGGCAGACTGGGAAGGCTGGGGCAAAGGGGTCCCACAGAGGGCAGCCTGACCCCAGCGTGACAGAGGGGACAAGAAAAGTCTTTAAGATTGTTTCTATAAAAATAGGCTTTTAACCCTGGCTTATGCCTTTCCTTGTGAGTCCCGGAGTGTGTGGGTGTTCTTTTCCCTCACGATGCTGGTAAGGGTGCGCCCGTGCCACAGATTACAATTCATCCCCAAAGGTTATCACCCCAAAGGGGATCACGTGAATGACTCTAGCACCCAGGCCAGGCCTCAGGGACTCACACAGATAGAAGATCCTCTGTGGGGGCAGAGAGCCAAACCCCCTACCCGAAACCTAAGCTCAACAGATATTTTGTTGTCTCATTTGCTTAGAAAATGTTATTGCAGCATCTAGTATTTTCCAGTTAATGGAGACAATAAAACTGAACTGTGGGATCCATGTAAGTAAAAGTTGTTCTTTTTTTAAAAACAGCTATTTAAAAAAAAAAACTGAGCCGGGCTCGGTGGCTCAGCCTGTAATCCCGCGCTTTTGGGAGGCTGAGGTGAGTGGATTGCCTGAGCCCGTGGGTTCGAGACCCGCCTGGGCAGCGAGACCTCATCTCTACAATAAATCAAAAAATCAGCTGGGCGTGATAGTGCATGCCTGTAATTCCAGCTCCTTGGAAGGCTGAGGCGGAAGGATCGCCGGAGCCCAGCAGGTCGAGGCTGCGGTGGCCGGGAGCGGCCACTGCACTCCAGTG